TGGGAGGCTGTCCAAGCACTCAGCTTACACAGAACACTGCTTGCGCATGATATAGGTCTATAAAATGTAGGATATGATAAAAGATATGACAGAGGTCTATAAAATCATGACTAGTTTTGAAAAAGTGAATAAGGAAAAGTTATTTACTTGTTCCCATAATATAAGAACTAGGGATCACCAAATGAAACTAATCGGTAGCAAGTTTAAAACAAATAAAGGAAGTTTTTCTTCACACAGTTCACAATCAACCTGTGGAACTCCTTGCCAGAGGATGTTGTGAAGACTAGGACTTTAACAGAGTTTAAAAAAGAGCTAAATAAATTCATGGAGGTTAGGTCCATCAGTGGCTATTAGCCAGAATGAGTAAGAATGGTTTCCTTAGCCTCTGTTTGCCTGGAAATGGATGACAGAAGAGGACTCATGTGATGATTACCTGTTGTGTTCACCTCCTCTGGGACATCTGGCATTGTCGACCATCAGCAGACAGGATACTGGACTGTATGAACCTTTGTCTGCCGACAGTGGCCAATGGGCAGGATGGGCTGACCCAGTGTGGCCATTCTTATGTTCTAAGCTTTTCCATTCATGATTGGAGTGAGTTGTGTCTTGTGTGCAAACAATGAGGTCATGTGCGTTTGTTTGGATGTGCGCCACCATGGCACCCACGAGTTGCATGGCTCCCCAAGAGACTCTCCCAGGTGTCATCAGTCAGGGTTTTGGGGTTGTCCTGGTGAGTTCCTGACAGGTCCTCTACTCCGTTGGTGCTGATAAACTTTTGGCTGCATGCATGCATGTGCTCCCTTTATCTAAAGAGTTAAACCCCGTGCACTTGGGTCAATGCAGTAGATCTCCGAGAGCCCCCAGAAATGATAGATTCAGGCAAGGATGAAACCAGTCGAGCAGGTGTATTGCCAAATGCTATGCATTAACAGTTGTTAGCAGAAAGTCTCAACACTAAGTCACTGTGCATTCTGTAAGCATTAATAACGCCCCCACATACAAATGTGCATAAAGCACCCCCGCAACTAGGGTTGGTTGGCGCTCACCCTCTGCAGTGCCCTTTTATAGACATGTACAAAAGTTACATCACTTCTTACCTACCAGGCTGCCACCCTCTGTTACCTAGTTACCACCCCTCCCCTTGCAGAAGGGGAGCTCACTTACTATCCTTCATGCTGTTAACTTCGACCCGGTCCTGAACCTAGGTCGGTATGTACATTAGTTTTTGAGGAATCAGTTGGTACCAAGACATTTCTTATTGAGATGTTCTGCTACTCCCCTCTGGCTCACAGTCTGTACCCGGTGCCTCCTTATGTCCTTCCATGCTTGACCTAACTTACACAATCACACAGTTATCAATAGGACCTCTTTCTTGGCTGCCGTGTTACTGAACCAAAGTCTTGCTCACTAGATTGCAGGCCTGTTGCAGTTACATCACTTCTTACCTACCAGGCTGCCACCCTCTGTTACCTAGTTACCACCCCTCCCCTTGCAGAAGGGGAGCTCACTTACTATCCTTCATGCTGTTAACTTCGACCCGGTCCTGAACCTAGGTCGGTATGTACATTAGTTTTTGAGGAATCAGTTGGTACCAAGACATTTCTTATTGAGATGTTCTGCTACTCCCCTCTGGCTCACAGTCTGTACCCGGTGCCTCCTTATGTCCTTCCATGCTTGACCTAACTTACACAATCACACAGTTATCAATAGGACCTCTTTCTTGGCTGCCGTGTTACTGAACCAAAGTCTTGCTCACTAGATTGCAGGCCTGTTGCTGTTTTTATGTTACAGGCCTTTATTCAGGCCTGCTGACTCCATGTTACCAACCCTCAACTTACTACACCAGATAGCGTGTCGTCCCCCCCACCTCGTGGGGAGAAGGTGAGACGTGCACCTCCCCCCAGGGAGCACTACTCCCTGGTCAGCCTATGTGCAGGGCAGGGACTGCCCCAGGCTACCCTTCATGGGGCTAGCTGTGTGTCCCCACCTGGGGCAGAGGGAAGCTGCTGCCAGTGCTCTGGGTTTGCAGAGAGTGAGGTGCTAGGGGTGGTGCAGCTTCCTTACTCTGGTGCGTATCAATCTTTCTTTTCTTTTATCTCCTCCCTTTGTCTTCTATTTCTTAATGTTACTCCTGCTGGATTTACCATCTTAGTGTCCCTATTGTTTTACAGCTTCCCAGAATGGGATGTGTATGTTTGTGTGTGGCATTGCAGGCTTGTTCACAGCAATTTCTATGAGGGGTGGGCTTGGCTTTGTAAATGTGGGCCACCATTTTTTTTAAATATAAAGGAGTTCAAAATAGTCATGCAATCAGTGTGCATAAGAGAAGTTAACGAAAAATCTGAGGGGGGGGCGGAGAATCAACGTGCACCTCCCCCCAGGGAGCACTACTCCCTGGTCAGCCTATGTGCAGGGCAGGGACTGCCCCAGGCTACCCTTCATGGGGCTAGCTGTGTGTCCCCACCTGGGGCAGAGGGAAGCTGCTGCCAGTGCTCTGGGTTTGCAGAGAGTGAGGTGCTAGGGGTGGTGCAGTGACATGTGGGAATGGGGAGGGAGGGCAGAGCATTGGGGGGCAGAGGGCTCTGAGGGGCAAAAGAGAGGTGTGGGAGGGGGGAAGAGATGCAGGGGGCTCCAGCCCCATGAGCGGTCGCACCACAGCCCGGCTCCAGCTTTGGGCAGCCACCACGCAGCCTGCCCAGGGAACAGTTAGGAAGCCAGGACAGGCCCGTATGCAGGAATTTCTGGGGGGGAGGGGGGTTTGTAAATGTGGGCCACCATTTTTTTTAAATATAAAGGAGTTCAAAATAGTCATGCAATCAGTGTGCATAAGAGAAGTTAACGAAAAATCTGAGGGGGGGGCGGAGAATCAGTGAGTGGGAGAAAGTGTTCTAATTTCTTTGCTCTTTCCAGAGAACAGATTTTTAACAGGAGACTGAAGATTGATTTACAGATCTCTCTTCCCACCCCCCACTAAAAAGTCCTCATTAATATAGCATTACGGTGTACATGAGATTTCTCTCCTCAACACACGAACCGTCAGATCACAGCCAGAACATGACATAATAGGATTTTAGAACTGGAAAGAATGCCTAACACTTCAGAGATGTGTAAAATCCCATAATAAAATCCAGTACTATAGGAACCATGCACTTAAAAAAAAAAAAAAAAATCGACCAACCAACCAAAACTCCCTCTCCTCCAAATATCAGGTTATCAGTGAAAGTTAAAATCCAGATTAAGGTTCAGTGTTTCTGCTCCACTGCTGTACAAAAGTTTGCCAAACAGAAGTTCCAAAGTCGAGGGATTACGGGACAGCTCTTGGACAACGGAACAAAACCCTCCATGAGCTTAAACCTAAAAGGAGCTTGTTCTAGGACACTCAGTCCCCAACCCTGGAGAACGGAAGACATGTAGAGCGAGGCTCCCCAGCCTGCACACTCCACACATGAACCAGGCAGAGCGGCTCCAACCTACCTGGCACTCCGGGGAAAGCAGAAGCAGCAACAGCATGAGAAGCCAGGGCACTGTGTCCACCTCCAGGACTGGGGAGGGAAGGGGGATAGACATGGGGCAGGCAGGAAGGTCTCACACCTCTGCAGGGGGCCTCTGTCATCAACCAGGATTCCCTGGAAGTCCCCCCCATAGCTCCCCCAGCAACAGCTGGGTCCCTGTCTGTGCCACTGCTCTACACAGGGGAGAGGAGCCAGCCACAGTAAACACTTGCCTGCTAGTGCTCTGCAGGGGACGTGAGGTGCTGCGAACCGGCCTCCTGCTTGTTCCCCCTCGCAACCTTTGTTCACTGCTGAGCTGGGCATGGGTGGGGGGAGGGTGAGGAAGGCAGCCACGGTCTTGGCACCCCCATTAGGCTCCCCACCACATGACCCTAGCCACCTCCGGTCACCAGAGTCGCTCCCCGCCATGTGGCTCTGGCCCACTTGACACGCAGTTCCGGCTCCGGTCCTGGCTGGGGTTGATAATTACATAGTTTAGTTGGGATTGGTCCTGCCTAGAGCAGGGGGCTGGACTTGATGACCTTCTGAGGTCTTTTCCAGCTCTATGATTCTATGATAATGGGACTTGGCAGAGCAACTCACCGCCTGCCATGTGGTTCTGGCCAGAGCAGCTGCTGCCCATTGCCTGGCCCATGGCTCCAGCCCTGGGGAACTGCTGAAGGTGGTGGCTTCCCTACTGCTCCTGGGGCAGGGTCTCCCCCTGCCAATCAGCCCTGCCCCAGAGCAGCCCCTGCGTGGCTCTCCTGGGCAGGTGGGCAGGCCTCAAATTCTGGGTGCTAGCCCGCGCAGGCGCACACCTTAGCAGGAACACTGCTTGGGAGTGCCTGATTTTTTAGCACCACTAGCCCTTTGCCAAGTTCATGTAACAGACAGCGAACACATAAGCACTGACTGATACATGGCTTGTCTTTGGTTCAGAGTATGGCCTGATTTTTCTGCCTATGGTTCAGGCTACAGGTCTTGCACCAGGCTTTGTGCTCTGGGCTCCCTCTCTACTACATTACTGATATCTCAGAGTGGGCTTCAACACAACCTCGCAGCGAATAAAGTTGTAATACTAAATTTTATATTCTACTTCTTAGATAGGAGATGGGGAGAACAAAGATGCTAAACAATAAAACACAATGTGGGATGATTTAAATCGACATACTAACAAAGCTGCCAAAGCCACTAACAGATGGACAACAAAAGAAATTAAATGAAATCTTCAGCTTCAAGGATGAGGGGGAAAAGGCAGGTAGGGAGAGCAGGTCTCTGCATTAGCCTCTATTAGCTTCTAGTAGTTAACAGTCCAAAAAGGTCTGTGCCTTTGTCTTCACCCCAATAATTTCTCAGCTTCTGGTGTCACTCCAGCACTCCACTGCGACTCGCAACATAATACCACAAAAAGCTGCCAATGAACTGAATCCTCTGCTAGTTGACTTCAATGGTATCACACTGGTTTACATGAGTACATGACCTGCACCGAATGTCCAATGAAAATACACTGTTTTCCCCAGCAACATGCTACTACATAATATGTCGGTAGTAATGGTTACAAATGAATGTGTTCATTCCAGCTAGGAAAATAGAAATTATTTTATTAGCCCTTAGTAGCAACTTACTGTACAATTACTGGCCAGGGATCTATTATGTGCATGAAGAGATACCAATGCATATTGTGTACAAGTGCTCCCCTCTGCATGGTCTATGATAGGATCTAGCCACTGTTTGATCCATTCTTGTGAGCAGAACAACTACTGAAGGAAAGGAGGAGGGATTGTCAATATCCAGCCTAGGCTCAAGTACTAAGGAGATGCGGAAAGCAGAAAAGATGGTTGAACATACAAACTAACTGGCACGTGTATAGCTTTACCTTGTGATGGAGGCACATATGGTGTAGAGGCTGGTGTAGAAGTGGGCTTAGGTCTGATTTCTTCTGGATTCCCAGCACTTGGTTCCACTTCATATTTAACTTGTGTTGCTCTGTAGTGTGGCACTGAAAACAGAAAAGGATGGTGGAATCCCACACAGCACTAGATAAAGAATAGCCTCCAGCACATCCAAGGGAGAGGCTGAAGTATCATTCATGCTACAATTTACACCTGTTTATTTACACTTACTTCTCCTCTGGCCCACCACCTTGCTGAACTCGGCATGCTTGTGATCACAGATGATCTGGATGTTCTCTGCCACACTCCTATTTAATCCTTCTGCTAGCAGCAACATCAGCACATTGCTGTCCAGAATCTTGTGGGATCTCTTGCACGTTGGAAACCTACACTCTCCGCGGAGGAAATGTCGGCAAACATGAAGTTTGTTGCAACTGCCTTGCTGGCTGCAAGACCCGTACAGTCCTTCCCCTTTGTTATAGAATTGGCATACCTGGGCAAGGAGGGAGGAAAAAATGCGTCATTAGGCTTTGCTTAACCTGACTTGCATATGGATTCTGTGATGAAAAAAACAGGACTAAAAAACAAACAAAAAAAGACACTATCGATTAGATGTAGTAACCGGGCCATATTTGTGGAGTGGAAGGTCACAGAGAATAGACATTGTAAGCTTCTGCAGACATTTTCATGGATTTCAAAGCTGAGTGAAGTTTCTAGAAGGGCATGCCAACCTTTCTAACAAACGGCAGTTTTGGCCACACCAAATTGTTTGCATAGATTATTTATGATTTGTGTTGCACCTGCCATGGACCAAGCACCCATTGCATTAGTTGCTGTATAAACATAGAACGATATGTAATATTTTGCATAAATTCATCATTTCCCAAGGCAAGGTCTCTCGTTTTGTTCCTATTTGTTCAGTGTAAGGTTATAAAATCCTGTTTATTTGGTTAACTGATTAAACGGGGCATGTGTGGGAGGAGGCACACCACCCTGGCTGGAGCAGCTCCTCTCCCTCCGCTGGGCTGGAACGCCCTCCTACACCCTGTCTGCGACCCTCCCATGGCAGGCAGGGAGCTGCTCCAGCCCCGCCAGTTATCCGTAACCTGTAAGCCTCACCTGTTAAGGGTGAGGCTTATCGGTCAACCCTAGCGCAGCGCATAGTACCGCTGGGTCCTGCGATCCATGACTAAGGTTCTTAGATGTTACAGTAATTAAAAATATGAAATTCTAAGCTGCAACGGCCAAGCCTCCTTTTTGCTTAGGTGACAGGTTTGTTCTGTGCTTTTTCTAGATCTTTCTTAGGCTGGACTGAGAAGTAAATGAGCCACACCTTACAATTCATACACAAATGATGTTGTCTCCCTAATTAACAAAGAGTGCTATTTGGTCTTGCAACAACATCTAGTGTCAAAATACTCTGATGGGAAAAGTCCTATGTAATGCTGAGTATGACTAGAAGATACTACTGTAAAGAGTTAAATGGCACATCAAATAATTAGACACAAAATTAATATCGCCAAAAGAAACTAAGAGTACATTTCGAAATGCATTATCCTTGATTTTTATCTGCTCACTGAACAGAGAGCAGGCTCTCAATGACTTGGGCCAAGGACACCCACAATCACAGCTGAAAATTCTGCTCCTGTGGCAGAATGGAACTTTCCACTCTAACAGTGAACCTAGCAATGGGAGTAGACAATACAGGATGTCCAGGTTTGGAATGGTACATGTCTAATCTGACTGACAAGGTATATAAAGCTAGAAGACCCTTAGTATTTAATGTGTAGCATGCTCACTGCCACTGTTTTTTCTTCCCAGAGGACAATCTCTCTTCCCTGTCTTCCCCAGCTAGGTACAACATATTTTTCTGTGTTTCAGTCACTTTCCCATCGCAGATTCACTTTTACCCTCTTTAGCGGTTCCTCCATCTCATACCTGCACTTATATACTCATAAAACTGCCTCTCCTTCATGTCAATCAACTTTTCACAGTACTTTCAATGGCTCCAGGACCAGGCTAACAGACATTCATGCCTCCACAGATATTTATTAAAGCCTCCCATTTTGAAAGGAGTAACCCTAGAAGTTTCAGGGAAAGAAATCTTAATTGGTTTTAGTTGACAGCTAGACTTTGGAACAGATCAACCAGTCTGTCACTTCATAGGGATTCTAGGAGCTTGTGCCCTGGAGCAGAAACTGACAAAGACCAGTAAAAAGATTTATAATGGACTCGACTGTTAATTAGGGATATCCTTATGTAATGTTGGATTTGATTTTTCCTTTAGTAGATGCATGTATGCCTCTGTAGATCAGGACTGGAATTGTTGGAGAAGCTTCAAGTCATGACTATACACTGGAGAAGTTGTGATTGTATGCAGGAAGCAAGTCAGACATCATGCTGGACTTACATGTTTGTCTCTCTCTCATGTTTTTCATTTATACAACATTTGTACAAAATATATTCATGGTACCGTTTACAGACAAGAGGAAAGTTGCAGACAAATCAACTGACTTAGTTTCCACAGCAAATGCAAACACAGCATCAAGGAGATAATGAAACCAGGAAATACGAAAGCACATCTCACATGCAGCTGACAAATAAACGCACACATAACAAGTCTCTGGGGACAAATAAAGGTTAAAAAGGATAAACAGCACTAAATCCATGAGACTCTCAATCATTCTCAGATTTCAGGTTCATTATTACTGAATAGACTAGGTGCTGGAATCTCAACTCATTCATAAACATGTTGATTGAAAGGGGAATGTGTGGTTGCTTTTTAAGTTCCTGTCCCGGTCTTGGTTGATTCTTGTTTAATAGATTCCAAGGCCAGAAGGGGCAATTAGATCATCTAGTCCAGGTGTGGGCAATAAAATGGTGGTGGTTCACCAGGGTTAGTCTCTGGTAGGTCGCCACCGCTATATTTATCTGCATCACTGCAGGTACCAGCAATCACAGCTTAAATTGGCGGCAGATCATCATTCCTGACTAATGGGAGTGGCAGGAAGCGATGTGGTCCAGGACACCACTTCCTGCAGCTCCCATTAGCTGGGAACAGCGATCCATGGCCAACAGGAGCTGCAATTGCTCATACCTGCAAAAGTGTAGGTAATACAGCAGTGGGGGGCCCACAAGGCGCCATCCCTGGCAGACTGGATCCAGCCATGGGGCCAGTATTTGCCCACCCTGATCTACTCTGACCTGCTATATAACACAACACATTTTGCTCAGATACCCCAATGACATTAATGTTTTTTTTGTTGGCATGGCTTCCCTGATATCCAGTTCCATGCTTTAGCTTCAACATAATCCCTCACCTCTTCCATTCCTAGTTAGCAAGTGGCCTTTCCTTATGAAATCAGTATGACTCACATCAGGCAGGAGGAAAGGGTCGTTCTGGAGAAGGAGGACCCTCAGCTCATTCTCATTAAGGCCACTGACTTCATGGCTCTTCAGTACTTTGCGGTTCCCATCTGAGAAGATATCATGGGAGTATTTACATGCCCTGCAAAGGAAACAAAAGTCAGATCAAACAAAACAAAGGTCAGATCAAATACATGGATCTTCAACCAGCATGGCTTACAAGACCAACCACACTTAAGGGACAGCAAAGTGAGTTTAGGAGAAGGAACGAGATGAGACTCAAAAAATAAAAATAAAAACTCAGTAACAGTGAGGGATTTCAACTCTCCTCATATTCACCTCAAGATGGGATGCAGGGATAAAGTTTCTTGACACCTTAAATGACAGCTTCTTGGAGCAACTGGTTCTGGAACCCACAAGGAGAGAGGCAATTCATGATGCAGCCCTAAGTGGAGCATGATATGGTCCAAGAGGTAAATATAACTGCACCACTTGGAAACAGTGACCATAATGTAATAACATTTAACATCCTTGTGGTTGGAAAAACACCTCAGCAGCCCAAAACTGTGGCGTTTAATTTCAGAAAGGGGAACTACACAAAAATGAGGAAGTTAGTTAAACAGACATTAAAAAGTGCAATGGCAAAAATAAAATCTCTGCAAGCTGCATGGAGATTTTTCAAAGACACCATAATAGAGGTCCAACTTAAATGTATACCCCCAAATTAAAAAACACAGTAAACAAACCAAAAAAGTGCTACCACAGCACAACAATCAAGTAAAAGAAGCAGTAAGAGATAAAAAGGCATTGTTTAAAAAGTGGAAGTTAAATCCTAGTGAGGAAAATAGAAAGAAACATAACACTGCCAAATTAAGTGTAAAAGTATAAGAAGAAAAATCCAAAAAGGAAATGAAGAACAGGTAGCCAAAAATCCAAAAAGTAATAGCAAAATGTTTTTAAGTACCTCAGAAGCAGGAAGCTTGCCAACCTAGAAGTGGGGCCCAGGACAACAGAGATAGTAAAGGAGCAATCAAACATGATAAGGTCATTGTGGCGAAACTAAATAAATTCTTTGCTTCGGTCTTCACGGCTGAGGATGTTGGGGAGATTCCCAAACCTGAGCCATTCTCTTTAGGTGACAAATCTGAAGAGTTGTCCCAGATTGAAGTGTCAGTAGAGGAAATTTTGGAACGAACTAATAAACTTAACAGTAATAAGTAACCGGGACCAGATGGCATTCACTCAAACGTGAAATTGCGGAACTATTAACTGTGGTTTGTAACCGATCCTTTAAATCATCTTCTGTACCTAATGACTGGAAGATAGCTAATGTGAGACCAATATTTAAAAAGGGCTCTATAGGTGATCCTGGCAATTACAGACCAGTAAATCTAATGTTAGTACCAGGCAAATTAGTTGAAATTATAGTAAACAGAATTATAAGATGCACAGATTAACATAATTTGTTGCAGAAAACTCAACATAGTTTCTGTAAAGGAAAATCATGCCTTACTAATCTACTAGAGTTCTTGGAGGTGATCAACAAGCATGTGGACAAGTCCTAGACTGGATGTTTTATTTAAATCTGATTTTGTTTATTTAAAAAAAACCTTTAATTTAAACTTATTTAAAATATAAATATAAAGCCTGTGTTAAGACTTAAATTTAATATAATCTATTAAAATAATTTACATTAAATTGAAAAATTATCAGATGTTTGCTGTCAAAACAATGAACTGAGCAAAGTCACTAGCTAAGCACTTGTGAACAGCATGTGCTGCAGTACTGTACTAAACAAGCTTTTCACAACCGTAGGTTCTTGTATGTGCAGAGAGAATATTTATTTTCTTCCTTTCAGTTTATTCAAATAGTTCAGTACAATGACTAATTCATTCAAGCAAGAAACCAGTTAGGAGCTGAAAATTCAGGGAAGCTTGTTTTCTTCTGATAGTCTATGCATAAAAACTAAATGTGAGAGAGATAAGAGTTACTAAAAGTTTGAAGGACATGGTGACCACAGAAATAATGAATTCAATTCATTAATAGCAGACATTATTGCTTTTCTTTAATCAATTTTAAAAGCAAAACATGTTTTGATAATGGGTTTGGGTTTTTTATGTATCCAGCACATTGAAAGTAGCTTTCTATAACCGATAACTTTTAAAATCTACTGCTGAGAGAATTCTGTGCCAAAGAATTAAAAAGCTCTGCACACAATATTTTAAAATTCTGTATATTTTGTCAAAAGAACACAATATAATCAAGCCAATTTCAATGATTTAGGTAATTTATTTCAAAATACCTGTCAGCAAGAATGTCCATCACTGGAGGAGTGTGTGTACTGGGCAGAGCTATTTGGGAAATGAAGGTCAAGCTGCTTCAGTTTTGCCCCTGGAAGCTGATCCAGCCCCCATACGTGCTGGAACTAAAGATATTCTTGTACCCCCTGGCTTGAAATGGTTTCTATCATGTACATGTTTGTTCTATGTCTCTCCACCCACATTAAAATAATTTGTCCAGCACCCCTACCAACTCCTGCTCCAGTATCAAGGATTTTAAGAGGTGGGTAACAGACTAATCATGTAATCAATACAATTTGTATCAACTACACAATTAGTAGATAAGGGGACCCGCTGCAGCTCTGCAGTTTAAATGCAGTAGGAGACGGGTGAGCAGGCTGCCTAGTTCCTACTACATTTAAACTGCAGAGCGACAGCTGGGGTAGATCCGGGACCTGGTGCAAGCTGGGACAGAGCCTTTCCGGCTCCCACCAGGGAACTGGCTTTTAAATCAGTTCCTCCCAGCACCAGCTCCCCCCTTTGCTGCTTCTGTATCTGGGGAGCAGGTAGTCAAGTAGTGACTCAATTACCCAAAAGCGGCGAGGAGTCCTGTGGCACCTTATAGACTAACTATACTCCATACAGCCCCCCATGGGACTGATGAAGTGGGTCTTCGCCCACGAAAGCTTATGCTCCAACACTTCAGTTAGTCTATAAGGTGCCACAGGACTCCTCGCCGCTTTTGCAGATTCAGACTAACACGGCTACCCCTCTGATAATCAATTACCCAAGAAGCCTAGGCTTATCGGGTAGTCGACTACTCAACTAGTCACTTACATTCCTATCCAGTACTAGCTCTGGCTACTGCTTCTGCCCCATCCTGGCCCCAGCTACTGCTTTAACCCCAGTGGCTGACCACTGGCCACTTGAGCTGGCTCCAGCTACTGCTCCTGCAGTTGGGATATGAACGACTAGTTGACTATGTTGGGCCCAGAAAAACAAGGCCTGGTCAACATTATGCTAAGAAAAGTTAACAAAGGCTAATTTCATAGGCCTCTGAGTATTCTTGACCAGAACCAGGAATGTGGTTCAAACAGAGGTGCACCCTCCATGCTGGCTTAGCTTATAGAAGTAAGATAAGTGATAAATTACATATTTGTACCTACTGTAAGTAGAACAGCTTGTTTTGGGAACTGGTCAGTAACTCCCTGTTTCTGTTCCCCTTCGCTAATCTTACCTCCCTATTTTTGCCCTTTGTTTGTGCTCAAATCCCTTGTCTCCTTGTTCCTGGTACCTGCCTTTTGTGATTGATAGGAAAGTAGCTGATGCATTATGAAGCACTTCTGGCCACAATGTATGGTTGGCCAAGATATGCATAGATACTAAAAGTTTCTAATTAAGAGAAAGGGGGGTGGGTTGCTTGGGTGAAAAGCTTATGACACGACAGAACTGTCTTTATAAGCCTACCTGTTACTAAAATCGTGGCTGGTTCTCTTTGGAGACGGGCCGCTCTCTATTGTTGTGTGCACTCTTCAATAAAGAGTTTGTGATTGGACTTTGCTGGTGTTGCCTGTCTCTTTGCAGTGAGACAACGAACTGAGCCATCTGGGCTCGAGTCCCGTACAATAATAATACCTATTAATGCAAATTCCAAATATATTCTCCCCTCCATCTCCCACCCCCACCCATGAGCAGCAATGTACACTAGTACTTACCAGAGCAAAGCTTTTGTAGTTGGGAGGGTGGGGTTAAGTACTTGTGAATAACAAAAGCTTTGTAGCTCAACTGCCAGTGTAGAGAAAGTGTCAAGAGCTCACACATGCATTCAGGCTAGAGAAAGGAATTGCATATAACAAGGCCATTGCACACTCACTGACAAGGAATAGTGATAGAAATGTAGCCGTGTTAGTCTGGGGTAGCTGAAGCAAAGTGCAGGACAATGTAGCACTTTAAAGACTAACAAGATGGTTTATTAGATGATGAGCTTTCGTGGGCCAGACCCACTTCCTCAGATCAAATAGTGGAAGAAAGTAGTCACAACCATATATACCAAAGGATACAATTAAAAAAATGAACACATATGAAAAGGACAAATCACATTGCAGAACAGGAGGGGGATGCAGGGGGGGGGAGGAAGGAAGGTAAGTGTCTGTGAATTGATGATATTAGAGGTGGGGAGAGTGGGATGTTTGTGAGTTAATGGTATTAGAGGTGATAATTGGGGAAACTATCTTGGTAATGGGTGAGATAGTTCAAATGTTTGTTCAGTCCTTTTTGGAAAGTGTCGAATTTTAACATGAATGACAGTTCAGAGGATTCCCTTTCAAGTGCAGATGTAAAAGGTCTTTGTAGCAGAATGCAGGTGGTTAAGTCATTGAGAGAGTGACAAGGAAGGCAGAGGAGTGACTTATAAAATGTGTCTAAAGAATATGGAACCCACTCTTATGGGTTCTGTACAAAGAAGGGTGGGAAGAAATTCTGGAAGACATTAGGACAATAAAATATTAAAAGGGATCTGTTTATCTCAGAGCCACAATAGGCCATTTGCAGTGAGAACCAATGAAAACAAAAGAAAATGAGAAACGCAGAGGGGAACAAGGACAGATCCAGAAACAATGCTGTTAGTCTGGCTAGCCTAAAATGTAACTCAGTAAAGCCCCGTAGCCAGGCATACCAAAATAATAACATTTGTAAAATAAAACTTCTCCTGACACTGTTTAAATTTAACTACTTTTTAGTCCTTACCCTTTTGGGATCTCACTGACTTTTGAACCTTCTGTTCACATGCTGCGATTGAGTCACATCTCCTGTACAAGACTTGATTTCTAGAGTTTTTTCCCTCCCCATATCAACATTCTATTTTGCCTGGTGTTTTATTGATAAATAAGGTAAATTCTCTGCTTTAAAGCCCCTTATTCTGCAGCAGGACCTTTGAGAATAGGCTCCTGGAGCCTGCATAGAAGTGAAGTCAACAGTGACAGAGGTGTAATCAAGAGCAGGATTAGGTTCAGGAGGAGATAACACATGCACATTTAAGTGTAGATTTTACCCTTACAATCTCATTCTTTTCTGGGTTGTTCCAGCATAAACTAAAGTAGCTTACTTGTCCAACAGAATTGAGATAATTTGTTGCAGAATCAAACTGTTAAAAATTCCTAAGTTAAGAAAAATATTGCATTGCCTAAGAAAAGAGGCTGTTTACCCAGAAAAGAGTTATTTCCACATTTTATCAACATACTGTCTACTTTTTTATGAACCTAAAGGAAATGGACAAATTTGAATATCATCTTATATCTATGTAAAACAACAAAAAAATGTGATAAAGATGGAGATTTGTGGGGTTGCCAAGTGAAAAGCCTAAGATAGTATATTAGGGAGTTACACGCCCTGCTCACTATGCTCAGCAACCCCCCTATCGTGGGCGGTAGGCAAACCCAGCTCTCCCCACAGCCACCAGGCAGGGCCAGATTGCGGCTGTGCCAGCCCGAGCCCCTTCTCCCTCCCCGTCCCTGCTCCTCCTTCCCCCAGCTGCGCCAGCCTGGGCACCTTCTCCCCAGCCCTGCCAGCCCAAGCCCCTTCTCCTGCCCCTGGCCATGCCAGCTCAAGCCCCTTCACACATACCCTACCGCACCACCCCAGACCCCTTCTGCCTCCCCGCCCCCGGCAACACCAGCCAGCCCCGAGCCCTCTCAAGCGAGGCCATGCCAGGCCCTGCCCCCAGCATCTGGGGAAGGCTAGGCCATGGTGTGCCTAGTCCGGCTCACCTCCCGGTGGCAGGGGAAGGCCAAGGTCATGGTGCCCGACCAGGGTTGCCAGACAGTTTCACAAAAAATACCGAACATGGCAGGAAGAAAAAATTGGTTAAAAAACCCCCCAAAAAAACACGCACACAAAAAAAGTCCCAGCGCCTTTAAATCCCACGCTCCCAAACCAGACGCTACAGGGGAAGAATGTCCCAAGCGGCCATCTGTCCGGTATTTTGTGGGTTTTTTTTTTTACTGGACAGAAGCAGCAAATACTGGACTGTCCGGGCCAATACCAGACAACTGGCAATCCTATGCCCCATCTCTCCAATTGATAATGGATGGGGCCTGGCTCCGGGGACAGGGCCTGGGGCAGAAGGAGTGGGGTGGGGGCGGGGCTTTACCCATCCATGCCTAGCCCCAGCCTGTGGATGCTGTGACGTGGTGACGTCACTTTGTGTCTCACAGGAACATTTTTTTTTTATAGAGAAAGAGAGAGACTTTAGAAATGTGACTCTGTCAGTCTGTCCATCCATTCAAGAACTTCTCCTAAGTGGTAAATTTGGTACCCAGATTCCTCTTATCATAACTTAAAGCAAAGTGAGGGTTTGGTTGCTCCAGGATAATGGGATATGTGTGGAATTCAATTGCTTCTCATAAAATGGAAAGGGAAGGGCATGGCAAGAGGAAATGATATGGCAGAATGGCCATGGGAGGCTGCAAAATGACAGAGATGGGGACCAGGATAGCTATGACCCCATTGGGCTAGCAAGGAACAGGAGTAGAGAAAGGGATAGCTATCTACTGTATATTTCAGAGAGTTTGTGTGAATGTGTCTGTCTGTCCCTCAACTGGGGAACATGCACCCCTCCCCCACTTGTGCCTGTTGGAACGTAAGTGGCCATGGAGAAGCACTTCTCACCTGGCCCCAAGTTGCTGCCTTGAGAAAGGATGGGGGTTGTCCTCTGTCCCTAGGGCAGCCTGCACAATGAACCCCTCATTGCCAGCCCCACCCCAGAGCAATAATTGAAGTGAAGAAAAACAAAAAATTTATTTCAGTTAAGGAGCCGAGCAATGCCAGGTAAATCTTCTAGTTTCTTATTTCAGTTAAGGAGAGGAGCAATGCCAGGTAAATCTTCTAGTTAAAAAGAATAAAAAGCACAGCACATTTTCTTTGGAAGGTATCATCCGAACAATTGTTCTTCCAATTCTGTTAGCAGCTCTTCTTAACTATCTTATTTTTACAGGCTATAGAAGCAACACAGGCTGGATTTTCCAACATATGGACTACATCTGAGAGGGGTCAGATCTGGGTTATGACAAATTACAACACCATCATAATTTTCAGCTATAACATAAGTCATTAGTGAGGACACCCCGATCATATCCAGCGTTATAGGAGGACATCTAGTCACCCGATAGCTGGGATTAGGAATGGGAATCGTTAACCAGGAAGCATCACCCTTATGGTTAAAACCGTTGGGTTTATTACTGGAGCCTGGGCATGATGGGCCTGTATAGCTCGGTGCTCTTGTGCACTCCTTAATATTTACTTACATAAATCTGATTTTGTTCAAATATATTTTCAATGTATTTGAGATCATGACCTAAGTGAAAGCCTATTTAAATGTATTACTTGCGGGCTGCGCCCCGTGCCCGCTATGCTCTCCTACCCCCTTCTCTCTGGTGCGATGACTTCATGCCCCCCTCGGGTGTGATGACGTCATTGTTACCGCCCCCCCCCGGGGGGGGACTTTTTTTTTTTATAGAGAGAGATACTAAATAATCCATTTGTAACCACCCATGTTCAGAGCTCCAGGGTTTCCTTAGCTGCATGCCCCCATGACCTAGAATTTCAGGCGTGCAAGGCACAACAACCAGGCCCCATCTTGTGTGCCACAGATCCCCCTGCCCTCTCCCTCACTTGGCACCCTGGTGCCTAACCCCGCCCCTTCCTACCCAGCAACTGGTACGGACTCCCTGCTCCGTTCCCCTCCCCCTCCTCGCATCTAATGCCTGATCCCATGCTCCACCCCGCCCCTTTCCGCCTCCCCCCTCCTGGACACCCTGGAGCCGAGTTCCCTCCCAACTTTTCCTCCTCCCACCCCGCTGCCCCCCGCCCGTCGCCACTCACCGGGTTCCGAAGTTGCACTTGCCCATGAGGTTGAGCTTGCAGAAGTGGAGGCACTGGCAGCCCGCACACTCCTTGCGGACGCAGAGCCGCAGCGGCGACACGGCGAGCACCCAGCGGCAGCCCCCCTGCATGTGCACCAGAAACCGCTCGTGCCCCACATCCCGCAGGATCTGCTCCAGCTGCGGCTCGGGGAGCCCCACGTGCTGGGGGATCTGGCTGAACTCCAGCCGCCCCCCGCTGGAGCACAGCACCTTGGTAATGAAGCTGCAGACCGCGGGGTCCGACATCCCTGCTCGCTTCCCCGGGGGTAGGACGGGACTGAGCGGTGGGCGGCTCCGCTCGCTTGGGTTTCTTGGGCGGAGCAGGCGCCTCCTCCCGTCCAGCTGGTAAGAAGAATCGAAACTGAAGGCAGAAGAGCACGGCCGTGGGGGATGGGCGGAAGGGCTGTGAGTTAACAGGCGAAGTCATGCAAAATATGTAGCAGGAGGGGAGGGCATTTTAGACCCTCATTTACAGACATGTACCCTGGATCTAACGCTGAGGGAGACCAGCTGCAAACCAGAAAGATGTTGGTGTCATCTGGAATACACAGTGGAGGAGGCGCAACAGAAGCCCCTTTAAATTAGGGTCAGAGTTTTGCCCCTCTGCCTGACCCCCGGCCCCCCACAACCAACCACCAGCCTGATGCTCCTGGCCCTTGCACCATTACACCCAGCAGCATGGAAAGCATAGGGTTGCCAGGTGTCCGGTTTTGAACTGGACAGTCCAGTGTTTGAGCTTTCTGTTTGGGAAACAAATTGAGAAAATAGAAATGTCCGGTATTTTCTAAATAAGATGTAATGTAGATTGTGATGTAATGTCACGTGTGTCCAGTATTTTTGTTGAAACCGTCTGGCAACCCTAGAAAAGCACGGTGCCTGGGTAGATCCAGGGCCTCATATCCTATGCAGTGGTGATTAGGACAATCTTGTTTATGTTAGGCCCTAGAAAATTAGGCCTAGTGCAGTTATGCTAAACCAGACATAACAAAGGTTTCTGGGTAGTCCCTGGGCAGAATGGAGATAGGTTCAAGTAGGGGTGCATCCTACACGCTTGCTTAAGATTACTGCCTGGCTTGCCCTGTCTGCCAAGCCCACAATGTAGGTAAACCTGTAAAGACAGTTCCAGCAACCAGACCTCCACCTTTGGGACCATGCCTGATGGACTTTATTCTGTTGCCTAAATGTCAATCTTTTGACTATGTGCTAGTTATTGTTTGCTTGTGTTTGGAATGGGTAAAAGCTGATGCCATCACAGTGGCAAAGAAACTTCTAAATCATTACATCCCATTATAGGAAATACACTTTGTGATCTCCAGTGATAGAGGTACCCACTTTACTGGACAAATTGTTTAACAAAACTAGCAAAGTACTACTCTATCAGACAAGCACCGCACTGTGCGTGACACCTAGAGAGCGCAGGAGCAGTAAAGAAACGAAACGGGATTAAAAAAAAAATCTTGCTAAAATATGTAAGAACTCTGGCTTAACATGGGTAGAAGCACTCCCGATTGCCCTAATGAGCATGAGAGCGACTCCTAATCGAAAAACTGGACTCAGTCCACATGAAATTGCATGTGGCCGACCTATGAAATTGTTAAGCAGCCAAAAAAATTGACCTGGCTGATGCCACGCTTATTAAAGAAAGCATAGTCAAGTATTGTCAGGAACTTATGAGGTGTGTACAGTCTTATCATTCTCAGGTTAAGGACGCCTTCCAGAAGGCCCTGATTGTGCCGTGCCATAAACTACAACCAGGAAATTGGGTTTGCGTGAAGGTTCACCAGTGGAAGACTGCCCTGGAACCCAGGTGAAAAGGTCCCTACCAAGTCCTTCTGACCACCCATACTGCTATAAAGTACGAGAAATTGCCCACTGGATTCATGCCTCCCACTGCAAACCGGTTCCAGTGCCTACGCAGGTTGGCCCCAACAAGGAGCACTGCAAACCTGGTACCAGAAACCCAGGCCCAGAAGCAGATGACGTCTGACCTCTAGGGAGCCACGCACGTTCAACCCACCGCGAATCGGGTGAACCAGAAGCAGACGGCATCTGTGTCCGAGGCAAATGGACTGCTATCCCTTTGGACGACCTGAAGTTTCGGTTGAAAAGGACTCAGATCTGTGGTACCCCTTTACTGAAGAATGGCTTTGTTATATTTTCGGGGTCCTCTGTGTGTTACTTTGTCTTTTATTTGTTGCTTTGCTCTTTTGGTAGTATGGAATGTGAAAGCATCAGAGGCTAATACCTTCCTACGCTTTGCTCATGAAATGAAGGCTCACATGCCTGCATTACGTAACATATCCTGCTGGATTTGCTCCTTAATGCAAATAGATAGTCAAAAGGGCCTTCCCATGATTCCTATTGCCCTTAGCGCAGCAAATATGACTTGGACTCCATCGTGGAAAGATCCCTTAGGCACCCAGAATATAACTTGGGCAAACTCCGGAATCCATACAGATAAATATCTGTTGGTGTGGCAGCGACCCGGTAAATGGTGTCTTCTCAAAGGATCTTCTACATCCAATACTTTATGGGTTGGTGAAAGTCAGTGCGAAATTTATTATATCTCACATATTAGGTACCAATTTGAAAGGATAGAAACACGATACAACTTCTCCCGTCACAGGAATCAGGTGGAAGGAAAGAGATTGAAATATCTGATCCCCAATGGAATCTCTATTTCACTCCTCCCTACCTGGATGACTATAGACCCTTCCTTGTGTATCCTATTTCAGATAAATAATTCTTATAACTGCTCTCCCTTAAATTGCACTCACTGCAATCAGGGACCTGGTCACCGATTGCTTTATGCTTGTTATTTTCCTGATAGTCCTCTAACACCGGTTGCTCCCCGTAGTTGGGCACCGTGGAACACACCTTTATTTGGAGTATACTGGGTGTGCGGTAACAAGGCATATTTAATTCTTCCTCCCTCATGGAGTGGATCCTGCTACTTGGCCTGGTTAGAGCCACCTGCTGTTTACCGCCCTCATCTCCCCACTGGAAAGATTAGAAATTGAAGGGACGCTGAGACAGATGCTAAGGAATCTCGTCCTCTTACTTGGTGGGCTGTGAATGATTGGACAGGTGCTTGTGCGGGATTTCCCCATGCCTGTGGTGGGGCCTTTTATCGAGTAGGAGAAGGAGTAATGAGGCTTCAAGGGATTCTGAAAATAAAGGCATTGCTGATGCTTTAACTGATCTGGCTACCGAAGAGAAAAAGATCTGGAAGATGGTTCTCCAAAATCGCTTAGCACTAGACATTCTACTAGCCTCTCAAGGGGGAACATGTGCCTTGATAGGACAAGAGTGTTGTGTGTATATTCCCGATGTTTATAACGCCACTTGGGAAAGAGCGAATCATCTTATGCAGGTAGCAAAGGACCATGGAGGGAAGAAAGGGGATTCCTGGTGGAGCAACCTGTTTAGCTGGTTTCCAAATATAGGTGGTTGGCTCCATAACTTACTTCATAGCGCTGTCATCATTATTTGTGGCTTAGTAGTTCTCTATGTCATAATTCGTTGTGGATGTTGGATGGGCACTAAGGCATGCGCCACCAAGTAGTAAATGGTTGCAGTGTGTCCCAAGAGTCCCTTCATGGTACTCTAGGGACAAAGAGGGGACTGTTAGGCCCTAGAAAATTAGGCCTAGTGCAGTTATGCTAAAGCAGACGTAACAAAGGTTTCTGGGTAGTCCCTGGGCAGAACTGGAGATAGGTTCAAGTAGGGGCACACCCTACACGCTTGCTTAAGTTGCAAAAGTAAGATAAGTAAGAAGTTGCATTCTTGTACCTGCCGTGATGAGGGACAGTTTGTTTTGAGAACTGATAAGGAAACTCCCTGTTTCTGCTCTTCTCCTGTTTGTTCCAAACTCCCTGTTTATGTTCTCAACAAACTGTCTCCTTGTTGCCCGGTACCTGTCTTCTAGGCTGATAAGAAAGTTGCTGATGCATTATGAATTGCTTAAGGCCATGATGTATAGTTGGCCAGGTGTTCATGGATACTAGAAGTTTCTAACTGATAAAGGGCGGTGGGTTGCTTGGGCGAATAGTCTATGATGCAACGGAACTGTCTATATAAGCCTACCTGTTAATGAAATCGTGGCTGGTTCTCTTTGGAGACAGGCCGCTCTCTATTGTTGTGTTCACTCTTCAATAAAGAGCTTATGATTGAACCTTGCTGGCGTTGTCTGTCTCTTCGCGGTCAGACAACGAACGGACGCCATCTGGGTTCGAGTCCCTGACATTTATATAGAGGAAAAGGGTGCTAGACAAAAAAAATGTAAAAATCTTAGTCCTGAAATGGTTCTTCTGAGCCAGTCTATAACCAACGAAAGTTACAGTATACATGGCTTGTGGGATGGATATGTAAGAGTAAAAACAAACAAACAAAAAGGCAAGCCACACAATCTGGCTTCAAATTCATCACTGTAAGTCAGTGGAGTTACATTCGATGAGTACATCCCTTGCCATGCCCACAGTCCCCAATGAAACAAATGGTTGTGATGGAAACCTTCAGGCTGTGTCTAGACTGGCGAGTTTTTCCAGAAAATCAGCCGCTTTTCCGGAAAAACTTGCCAGCTGTCTACACTAGCCGCTTGATTTTCCGCAAAAGCACTGACGATCTACTGTGCGAAATCAGCCGTTTTTCCAGAAAAGCTTTGCTGCTCCCGTTCAGGCAAAAGTCCTTTTTGCGAAAAACTGTTGCACAAAAGGGCCAGTGTAGACAGCTAGCTAACGCTTTTGCTCAAAAGCAGGCTAAACGGAAAAAAACGGTTTGATCGCCGGGAGACCCCATAGGAGCCACGGACTTCCTGGTAACCCGAGCTCTTAAAGAACACGCAGGCTGCTGAGCACACGTGGCAGGACCGTGCCACAGAGCTCTTTGCCCTGAGGTCTGCCACGGCACCCCTGTCCTGCTCAGCAGCCATCTGAGCCAGATCTTAAAGAACACGCAGGCTGCTGAGCGCACGTGGCAGGACCGTGCCACAGAGCTCTTTGGCCTGAGGTCTGCCAAACTGCCCCTGTCCGGCCCAGCAGCCATCTGAGCCAGCCATGGCAGCTCCGGGCGCTGAGCCACCTGCACCCCCAGCGCAGGAGGCCCCCAGGGGCCGGAAAAGACGGGCTCCCTCGTGGTCCCCCAGGGAGCTGGAGACCCTCCTGGACCTCTGGCAGGAGGAGGAGGGCCTCCATGACACGAGGTCCCGGCGCCGCAATGCTGACACCTACAGCCGCATGGCCCAGGTACTAGCCCAGCACAGACATCCTGCCCGGAACCTAGACCACGTCCGGGCGAAGGTAAAGGAGCTGTGCCTGGGCTACGTGCAGGCCAACGAGGGCAGGGGGACAGGACCAGACACCTGCCCACAGACATCCTGCCCGGAACCTAGACCACGTCCGGGCGAAGGTAAAGGAGCTGTGCCTGGGCTACGTGCAGGCCAACGAGGGCAGGGGGACAGGACCAGACACCTGCCCACACTACGACCGGCTGCATGCCATCCTTGGCCAGCCAGCCCCGCAC